AAATATGGTTACTTTCAACTTCCTTCCACCACTCGGTCTGGAACTGATTCCCACGAGTCCTTTAATGGCACGCAGCTTCTTTGTGTTTCAAGTTGCCCTGGGTAAATCCACTTGTGCACAATTCATTTAGATGTTTCTTAAGGATAAATCTGGGGTCCGTTATTGGTTGAGTTCCAATCGATCCTTACTCATCGAGTGGTATATAGGTTGACATTCTGGCAGTCTCAATTCGAATAGTTGAAATTCTGGTGTGTTTTCTGCTTATACTGCTTGTCGGAATGCTTGTCCCTCTGTACGGTGTTCCGAATGGATCAGTTTCACTGATTCAGCAGTTTTCTTATTAACTCAATGACAAATGGATTGTCTTTACACTTTAAATCACATTTTGGCAGATCAAAGTCTCTTAAATCTTGTGCATGATCTTGTCGCACAGTTGTTAGCGCGCACATTTGCATATTGTACACGTATGTTCTCATAGGATCTTTTCTGTACACGTTCCTATCTATGTTACTGTAGTAATCAAAACTTTTAAAACAAATAACGCGGTACTTCTTCGTTTATACATGGATATACTCTTTTTTTTTAAATAAATAAAGATTACATTACTGTAAATCTACGAATATTTTAGAACGAGCTTTACAACATTTACTCTGAAATTGATAAAATCAAGTTGATTAAACCCTTGGTACGACTCATTCGATTCATCGACATTTCCGAAAATTCGAGCAATGGCAATTTGTTTTGTTTGAGCACAAAAGAAAAGATGAAAAAACATTTAGGACTCTACGTATTAAAAAGCGAAGCAATTCACGAATGGATTCTTCTACGAGAACTAGAGAAATAGATTGATCGAATTAAGAACAGACAGACGTCCGATATAAAATGTATGAACATTTCTCTGTAACGGTGACTGAAGACATAGAGCAGTGATGTGTATAACATACCACGATGTTTTGTATGGAACGAGTCATGTTTATTTATACGAGATAATACACAAATTTTAGATCGTATACTATACCTATCCCACTGACAAAGCCATCCAGGCGGTGCCGCGTCTTGTTCCAATCGTTCCAGTTCGTGACTGGTGTCAGTCAACCACCTACGCAAGTAACTCTTTTCTAAGCAACCTCCTTCCCATGCGACAAACAATGTCTGCAACAAAATAGTGAATACATGTAGCTATTAAGTTTCTGTTTACAATACAAAATTAACACTTTGTCTTCTGATATCGTGGTAAAAATTTAGAACAGAAGTTAGCAAATGTAACTGTCACTAGATTTGACTTCAAGTTAAATGTTAGTTAAATGCTATTATTAGTTCTTAACCCATTTGTGTCATACAACAAAATTAAAAATGTTCCAGTATAATGATACTTCCTTTTTTATTACATTTGAATGATTAATACCTATAAATAAATACATAGATTATAATATATAATGATAATAATAATATTAAATATAGTCATCCCCCTAAGGGCACGGGGGAAAAAGAATAGGCCTTGGGTATGATCTGCTTGTCGTAAAAGGCGACTGAAAGGTCACCCGTACGAGAAGCTACCCATTTTTCATATGTGTAAACAAATTGTTCAAAGGAAAATATAAAATAATCACTATTGATATTTTGCAAGAACAACTAGCGACCACATAGTTACTACAAAGCAATCAATATAATATAATAATAATTAATAATGTAATATTTATTAATTAATAATGAAATCATAGGATGATGGGTTAATTAACCCTTTGCCCTATAACAACGAGCCAGACTGGTGGTGAAGATTTTCAAGATGATTTAACATACATATTAGTGAATTCATTCGAATTGTTGAGTTCGAAAACACAGAATATGCCTATAATTTTTCTCTTCTTTCAATAAATTATTAATGACAAAGTGGTCGTATTAAAATCACATAAATATTATTCACCTGTAACTGGATAGACATCATCTGAACAGGAGACACGGTTGGTTTCCCTTCGGACAAAAACTTCAGTTTCTCGAGAATGATCTGCGACAACAGTGCAACTTCTCCTTCGTCTTCTTTTGAATCACCGGTCGTCTCGGACGGTGTGGTAGCCTCTTCTTCAAGTTTGCTCGGCTCCGTGATATGATCCGCGACGTCTTCCGGTTTATCTTCTGTTATCACAGTAGTTTGCTCCTCTTGGGGATCAGCGTGTACCTCATCGGTACGGTCAACGCTGTCAGACGTGTTCGTTTCCTCTTGTTGCGCATCGATTTCTGGTTTGACAGTCTCATCCTTGTCTACTGGTTTTTTTTTCGTGGACGGAACTAAAAAGTTAATACATTTAAAGAAAATTGTTTAATCATCAAAAATAACATTAACATGGTTTTACTAAAAACAAAGGATAACTTGATGAACTAGACATATCTTTTTTCAGTGGTATGATCCTTATGGAATAAACCTGATTCCAGAAAATAGTCGAAGAAATTTAGTTTATAAAAGAGATAAAAATATGAAAAATGAAAATATCGATACAAGATTTTTACAGCAATCTTTTTAATGCCCTTACCTTCAAACGCGATACGCTTCTTTCTCTGGAAGAACTTACTCCTGCCGTGCAAGTTGTCCAAGAACTTATTTGCCTTTTGCCCATCGTCCTCTGGTTTTGAAGATACCTCCTCACCACTCTCTGTCTTCTCAGAAGTAACCTCGTTCTCCAGTTCCTGAACATTTCTTTTCTCACTGTTCACGACGCTGCTGTCACCGTTATCTGGTACTCGATGAACCTTTAAACTTGAACCCTCCATAGTGTTCTCTGTCTGAGGGATAGGGAACAAAGCTTTTCTCTCCTGCCTGACTTCAGGTTCCTCTTCAGGGTCAGAATCCTCATCATAGCCAGGTACCAAAGACACTCTGAAGTCAAAATCAGAACCAGGGTTGCTTTTACTACTGCCATCGTTAGCTACCGCTGTCTTACAGTCCCTAACGGTTCGACTGTCAGTAGCAACTCTCTCTATGCACTCTTGAGGTTCTTGCACTTGGTTCTTCGAGTACTTTGCATCCTTTTCTTCAACTAACTTTGAATCTAACACTTCTGTTCTTGAATTCTCCACAGGCTCTTCGGTGTCTTGGTCCAAGTTCTGAGATGCCTTCAGCATTTGCGGATGTCTCGTAGATGTCGACGAGGAAAATATATCTTTCGGCTTTGTCGTTGAGTTTGTACTGACAGATTCACTTGTGGATGTTGGAGGCGCTTCTGATTTCGAGTGATTTTCGTCTGCTGAGTCAGAGTCACTCTCTTCAGACCCGTACGATGTTATCATTTCTATTTTTCTGCGACAATCATTTCTTCGTTACGTTTTATTATAATTTTATATTTAGTATTATTTATTCTCATTTTCTTGTTAACCTAATAGCTATAACAGTATATAGTTTCAAACATCTCTTGCGCGTTGCGTAATTGAAACCATGCAATGACGAGTATACATGTGAAATGTAGGGCAAATGCACCTTCAGCATATTTGAATAAAAAGCTAAAATAAGGTGAAGAAGCAGTACACGTGTTTATTTGAAAAAATGAATTATTCATTATCGAAAATATTAGTAATACTCCGGGTTTTAAAATGACATATATACTCGTGAAACATAGTTAACTAGTTAAGTAACACTAGAGGAAACAGTGGGACTTTGATTGCATACCCGTCATCGGACTCGTTATCCATCGTATCGGACGTGTTCGTGGTATCTTGGTCAGTTGGCGGTTCCTGTTTTTTAGCTGTCTCGTTGCGAATATATCTGTTACGATTCCGAGCCACTACTTCTCTTGGTATCATACCTTCCGGTATGTTTTCGTGTGATTGGTCTAAAGAAACATTGTTTTCGTATTGCTGGGTAACATATATTTATTTGGAAATAATAGATACTTCTGTTGAGCGTATAATTACATGCAACCGACGAGAAGTCAACCCAATGAGAGTCTTGCATTGAATGAGGTTTCATCACAGAGCTGGTCTTAACATTATTCTTCATGTACCGTAATTCCTCTGGCATCTCCCAGGTTACCTCATTGGTCTCTATGTGCCAATAGTATGGGTAACCGGAAGATTCATCTAAGCACTCGCGCCACACTAAAAGAATACATGTGTTTTAAAAAGACAACTACATTTGTAGGCTCCTCCCAATCACATGGGAGAGTTTCCTGAGATTTTTCAAACAGTGATGTGCCAAAATCTTACTTGATGCTTGTTGATTAGTGTGATGTGATAACTGTGTATTGGAATTTGTTGTTAAGGCAGCATTATTGAATTCATTTGCAATGGGTTGTTTTGGAGCAATAAGTTGTATTTCCTATGAATTGATTGTTTGGAGAATATTAGTTTCATGTACAAAGTAGATCTCAAAGAAATACATGTATATAAAAAAATTCTACTTGCCTTGAGGAAGTTGTTCACTTGATCATCTAACTTACAAACATCTTTCTTTGGATCCTCAGTGTCACTATCTGAATTATAGTGGCAAAGTAAATTTGCCAATGGGTTTCCAGGTACATTTTGTCCAGGGTATTCAAGATTTGTTTGTTTCCGTTTATCTAAATGTACAAATGTTACACTATGTGATTAATAATCTCTTATACAACAGTCAAATATTTCGTGTTTAATTATAATAATTATATTATAAAAAAAAAGTATAGAATCATTTACTTTGCACATGATCCCCGTGAGAGCCAGCTTGTGTTTGATTAAGTTCTAAGACAGGTCTTCTTTGACGCCGCTTCATAATAAAACATAAGTTAAGTTGTGTACGTTACACGCAGTAAGTATGCCTAAAATAAACGAAAAATACAATTTTAATATTGTTGCTCTGAAGAACCGTCGAATTCGATGAAATCGATACACGTATTGGACGAAACAGAAATATACTTCGTCTGAAAATACATATTTATATAAATAATTTATGAAACTCACTCATAACCTTCAATTATCATGAATTAGCTTGCTCGATGGATTTCAATATCAAGTATACAATAACAAACTGGACACGAATACAGTTGTTCAACAACAGTTATAAAACGTACAAAAATATTATTCTAAACCCGTGTTCTGTTTCTCTAAAAATATTCGAAATACTTCAGAGATAAAAATTTAAGGTTATGGACGACTTTATCAAAGAATCATATTGCCTCTCACGGCGGCGTCTCGCACACTAAGTACGTCCTACCTGGTTGAAAAATTCACGCGATTTTCCTACTAATCATCACCTAACGGGAAAACTTTGAAACGAGGGGAATCCTGTATTGTGCTCTGGCGGGAAATTTTGAACTACACCGAGAAGGCGGGAAATTCAAACGTCGTTTCGTGCCCCGTTACTTCCACTACATTCTGAAATTCCAATCCACAACATCCCACTTCTAATACACATACACTAATCTTTTCCAAATTTTAAGAAGAAAATATTTTAAAAATAAATATTTTAAAAGGGGGGAAGAGAATATGGTTGAATGGACACGATCACAAGAGAGCTACTTATAACATATTTATTTATAATGTTTTAGTAATATACTCCTTACCGTAGACATATATTTATATCATATGGCAGCATAGTACTATTACATTGTATAATATATGTGAGGTGACTGACAGAACGATTCATATTTTAATTCTCTCTGTTCCCCGGCGTGGAATCACGCCGGTGATTGTTTTCTCTCGTTTGCACACACTCATCCACGCAGCGTCACACGTTCACGCCCGTTCGTGCGGTTCCAGCCTCGGTGATGATCGCGTCTAGGAATTTTGTTTCCCCTGTGGATCGATGTCAGCCTGCGGCGCGGCGTCCGATCGCGAATCAATCGAGGCAGGAACTGATTTCGGTGCCTTTCGATCCGCGGAAATTGCTTCACGTCCCCTCCCGATATTAATATTTCCGAGCGTTTCGTCGATTCTTTTGTTTCTCTCTTGTTTAATCGGTATATCCGGTTAACGGCGCGTCGCGGCGCGCGCGTGCATCGACCGCGCAACTGCGAATCGGCACGGGTACAGTCGACCGTTCACGATCGCAAACTCTTTTTTACTTTTCTTTCTTTTGTTATCTACAAGTATTTGTCCCGTCTACTACGCTCGTAACATTGTCTCATACTTACTCGGCTAGTTAAAATATCAATATACATTATAATATACTCTATGTAACGATAATGCAACATCTTAGTTAATTTATTATACTTTGCAACTTAGAAAAATAGTCCTGGCTAGGCGTGGCCGCGTCCCGTGGGAGCTCGCGATTCAAGGTTTTCAATTTTCGCGGAATTTTGCGTGCTGCCGATTTCTCCCCGGATCGGTAAGTCAGAGGACAGCTGTGCCGAGCGTCCTCTGTCTAGGGGATTCCTTCAATTCGGGATGCTGGGCCTGATTTCTCGACGGAATACGAATCGTTTGATTGCCATTGTATTGTTCATCGGTGTAACGTTTTGCTAAATGAAATGCGTATGTGCGTTTAATCAGGAGCATCTAATACTGTTTAATTTCAAGAAACGAACAAAGACTCCTACGCTTCTAGAAGGACATTGCGATCGTTTAATTGACTGGGTCTCCCGATTGCGCCCTGGTAAGTCAGGAAAGAGAGGGTCCTCTCTTCGAATCCCTTATTCCTGATTCGGGAGGAATGATCGTTGGACTCTTCGAATTGGCGAGAATGTTAGGTTGGTACGCGTGGACGTCTAGTTGGTTATTTTTCGCGTAGGTCATTTCTCGTGGATCCCCCGTTCGATCGGCCTGCTGATCGAGGAGTGTCTTTTAGAATTCGAGGCGATCGAATCGGGTGACGCGAGACGAACGTTTAACAAGCTCGCTAGGAAATTTCTGTTGTTGTTGGTAAGTTCTGTATTTATTTGTCATGTTGCAGCAAGTAAACCGAACGTTCAGCAAGAGAGCACGCGATGCGGTCACGGCACAATAAAATCTATGAAAACAATCAACGGAACAACGGTAGTACTACCTCTCTGAAATTGTTACGCTCTACTATCCTACTATTGATTTATAATCGACCGACGGCTGCGATCGTCGCCGATCGTGTTGGATTAGCGTGGACTTAACATCGACTAAATTCGTCGTCGTACCCGGCGACGTTAGAACCCTACATTCACGATGCCATGCTCGCGCAAGATTCAACGGTTCGCTATCAAGCATTATCCTCGACACGTTGGCTGTCAATACGCGATCGATCATTCAAACTCCTGCCACGATAGAGACACAAAAACCCTAGATCCCCGTTAATCCCCTGGACACGCTGACATTATTCCCCTAGATCCCATGTCCGTGTAACGTAAATGCAACGCACGAACGTCATACTTTCTTCGCATTTAAAATACTTCGTTGACTAGGACTCGAGTATTGGCAGCCTGAATGGTGACGAAACAAAAGAGAAATTTCAACTTTCCGTTCAACGTATCCCCGGTTAATTGGTTAATTAAACCGCCCTTGTCGTTCGTCGTTCGACGGTTTATCCGCGTCGCTATATTTGCGTTCGATTCTTATTCGTTGGTACATTAAGTAACTCAAGGGAACACCTGGGGTTTCCTCGTTTTCCTAGACGAATGCGCACGCAGCTCAATTGATCGTAGAGGGCGCTAGCTTCTCCTGGTAGCTCAACATGCTGAAAGTAGTGGCCCCCTATCGTAGAAACGCGATCAACTGAGCCGTGTGTTCGCTATTGTACCTCAAAGCAGAGACGAAAATCGGATGTATCGTTGTAACCGGGCGTTTTTCTTCAGTACGGATTATCATTGTCAATAATAAAAATGATCAAAGATCGTCGTCAGGATTCCATAACGCCCTGACGCAGTGTTAACCATTTCACGAACAATGGAAAACAATTATACACGGCCAAGCACGACGGGTGAGCACATGCCTTAAATTATACGTATCGTTATTATTATTATTTTCTTTTATTATTAGTAATATTATTAATATTATTATTAATATTATATTATTAGCAATTCGAACGCGCATCGGTATCATTCCTATCGTTTTATATTTATCGTTACGTAATATTTATAATATTATTATCGTTACCGTTATCCATTATAATTATTCTTTAGAACGACATAAAAAAGTCAGTCCTTGAAAGCGAAGATGCTTTGTCGCCCGACGTGCTCGGCGCATGCGCGTGGACTCGCGCCCGCTTGGGATCCCCCGGTAAATGTAACGCAACTAAACAACACGCGATTCCCCTAGCGTCGCCCAGTGGCGCGGAATTTGAAATCAGCTCGGACAAACGAATGCGACGGACACGCGAGACAGCGAATAATTATGAAATATTTCATTCTACCTAACGGGAGTCTCCGTTAATTGATCTAAAAACTGTTCTATTGCAGGA